CACGGAGTTTTCCTCCGGGGGCTTCCCCGGTTTCTCCGTGGCATCCCAACAATTACTCTATTCACACACAGAAGAAGGCAATGGCAAACCACTTCTGGATTATCTGCCAAGAATGTATATGAACAGGTCCCAGTCCGAGAAAAGGGTGGAAGGATCCTGTTCATATGGACCTGTCGTCAGACAGAACACTAAATAATAATAATAATAATTTCAGCAGCAGAAATTACCGATCTGGTAAAATGAAACTCGACAAAGAAGCGCGTAGAACTTTCTTCTTTTCATCAGATAAAGTCTCTATATTGAATACCACTTCCTTCAGCAACTTTTAGTTGACTTGTACGATGGTGAGATCAAATTTCGTTTAGTTCCGTATTCACTCGCATTATTCACTTACTTCTTCCTAGTTTAAAGCAAACAATGGAGGAAACAGGTTTTGTTGAACAGTGTCGAACAGAAATCAACCTTGTTAACCAATGATGAGAGAGCAGTGTAAACTGTAGCCCCATTGGCTACGAGTTTGATTGTGTTGTCTGAGTACACTGCGCTCTGGTGAGTATACTGCTAACTAGTCATGACCCCTTTGTTGGCATACAGATTGTTATTTATTGGAGAGAAAGAAAACTGTAGTCGATCGATTTCCTTTGCAACTTGTGTGTTCTGATGATAGGTAAATAGACTAAGGGTCGGATAATAATTGAACGGGAACTAACCTCCGAAGTGAGCTGTGTTACCAACGTTACGAAAACAAACACACTGCTAATTGTATCTGTGAAAGCGAAGGATGCGGTATTGGTAACCGTGTTTGCTTTCGGGGCGTTAATCTGTCAGTTTATAGTTCAGAACATTTTATCTGCCGGACATGCACTCGGAAATATGCAGTAAGAAATAGTGGCTTGAGAAAATGATTTTCATGCCTTTTTCCGACTCTTAACTAAACACAACGCAATGCGGATGGATGGAGGCGTGGAGGTATAACCTCGCATATCTTAACCTCGACAATGAATGGATGTAAATAGTCAGTTTCATGCTCCGCCTGCTTTATTTCTGAAGAAGTCACCCCAGTACCTATTAGACAGGAATCTCTGTTACATTTCTATGGGTATAAAATGCCATTGTTTTGAGGGGAGGGTTTAGTTTTTCGAGTATTTTTATAATTCCTCTTCCTGAATACTGAATAATCTTAATGTCTTACTTTCTTTTTGGTGTTACACGTCTGGATGAAATAAAATTCAGAAGTATATACTATTTCTTAATTACTCTGTCAGGTTTTGAATACTTTTATTTCTTTTAAATATTCTTGACTGTTTTTGTTATGTATATATGTTTACATATACTACTTTTGAGGAAGACGTTTAGACACCCGGTGTCAATAATATAAAGTTTAAGGGTATTTTTGTTTTCTTTCGTTACTACCTGGGGTTTTTAACACGTTTCTGTAACCTTATAAGATATAACTCAATCCGACACTCCAAAATTGTTAGTACATTTTTATTGATGAACGTAATAGTATTAACCTTTCTCAGGTCGTTCAGCACACTAGTGAAACAGGATTTTATCACTGAAACATGTTCAATGTGTTGTTCTGGAAGCTCAGGAACCTTCCATAAAGAAAGAAATAAACAAAGAAATTCTCCAGAAATGTCGTCAGAGTTAATTAACTTTCTAGCTGAATGGCAATTTTAGAGCGACGATTTAGACATAAGCAGTATTAAAAATCTCTGTATCGCGTGTGCGTTATATTGAATTGGTGTTATATTTTTAACTAAGCCCTATGCTTAATATTACCAACTGGAGAAATTAATTTCAAACTAAATCGCTTATCTTAAGGCGAGAGCGACGTTGAGTACTTACGGAAGAACAATATCTATATTGGTTTAACTGAAAATCCTCATGGAAAGAGACTGTTTGGGAAACATGAGAAGTGGATGTAATTGATTGTACGGAAACAAATTATGGAGATGTAAGCAAGTTTAAAGTATTATGATGACTTATCCTTGTGGCGGATATAAGACTTTTTTGAGCAACTGGTTCGGAAGCGTCTATATTCTCATTTAGAGCCTTTAAAATTAGCAAGTGTTGCAAATTTCTTGGAATGTATAGATCGCGAATATACGTAAACATGTATACCTTTGACTGTGAACAGTTAGTTAAAGGTAAATATTTTTAAAAGAATAACTAGGAGCCTGTTCAGATGTTGAACCCAATACCGCTAATCTACCTGTTTGTAATTATATATATGTTTTGTAAAAGATTGATGGGATAACATTGGGCAGAAGCTTAATTAACTGTAAATTATTATTTCATCTATCGAATCATTATCGGACAATATAGAAGTATTTCTCATATGATCTCGTAAGATGATAGCTGTATTAAATAAAATTAACATTACGGAAGAATTAACATTTATAGCCTACATAGCCATATGGATGGTCTTTAAGTGTAGTTCAAATAGCATCTCTGAAAGGATAATTATACAACGGGTTTTCTGGACAGCGCAACCGTGAAGCGAACTTAAATGCTTAGGGTTTGTGGCCCGACGTCAGTAAAGACTAGAGCCTTCTGGGTTCAGTTAGCTTAGATAGGGTCTACATGATCCAGGTCAATCTAGTTCAGTTGTCACGACCCAATTAACTGAAATGTCAGCTGCGGTCTGAGTCTCCGATCTCTAGTCTGCCCTATCAGGGATTTAAAATGTGTATATTAGGTGAAGACGACAAAGCGTGAAGCTACTTATGCAGTTTTATTACATTGCTTTCCTTTTCGATTTAAAACATTCTTCTTAGAGCTGTAATCTCAAGCTGATATTTATTTCTTACACTGCAGGTGACACATCATCACATAGCCGTTAAAGCATGATACTGGTTGTTTGAAGTGACAAATCGGACAGCTATACGTTTCCTACGATCAAATTCGATTGATAATTACCGGACATACGCGGATGTTGCCTTGAGCTAAGAAGCGTCATGTTGAGAAAGGGTTTTATTAGCACGTCAACGCAAAGTTTGTATCTTGGTAACAAGACGGAAAAGTTTAAGGACAATTTATGACGGTAATCAGTTACTGTCTGGAAACGCGCTAATTTTTAACTTTTCTAATTAACTGTCAGTTAACGGTGTCTTTTATAAAAGAAACCAACTGACGCATGCGCGTGCGAAAATATTCCGCGGGGTGGTGCGGAAGTCGCTCGTGACGTCAAACAACTCGATAGTGTAGTGTCGTGCGGGTGGCATGCTTGTCAGTTTGTGGGTGCGATCCGCTGGCAGCGCTGGGTGAAATTGTTGCGACAGTGTTGATTGTTACCGGGATGCATTGTTCTGACTCAGTGCATGTAAGAACCGCAGTATGGTCATAATGCATTCGCTGGTGCTCCTAATAGCCACAGCTCTGCTCGGTGAGTACCATCTGTGGTTGATAAGTCGTCGTAAAATAAACAAGGAATCACGTGAGAAACGTTGCTAATGTGTAACGCTAAAATTGCAGGACGAGAATGTTATTTGATTATTTAATAGTTAGTATTCACACCTTTCAAACGTTCAAAATAAATAAATCATTACAATTAAACATAACATAGAAACTCCACGATAATTATTTTGGAATACATTAAGAATTCTATTTTGAAACATATTTTACAAACGTTTAAATTATTGCATGTAATATAAATATTATTGGTTAAAATCATTGTACTTTTTACTGGTAACTTGATTTAATTCTAATATGTAGTTTCAGATCTTACCCGTGTTTTGTGGAGCTATGCAAAGCGAAACTTTATATTATAAAGTAGCGTTATGTAATTATGAACTCAGTAACACCCACATTCATTAAAATAATATACACCTCTTGTGTTTTTCTCTGTTTTTCTGCGTACATTTGTGTTTTAGCATATAAATAGTTTATTTTTAAATCAATAGGCAATAGTTGTTACAAAGCAACACTATTAGTCTAACCTTAATCACTAGACCCAGTGACTAAGGTTAGTTCTTTCTAATGGGCCCAACTGAGTACGTGACCCCCTCTCTTTTCACCGAAGGACGGAAACAGACGAAGTTTACAAAACGTTGTGTTCTTTTGAATACCAGACGGTGGACAAAGTCCGAGAATTTATTAATTCCAAGTTTAACACACTGTCATCAGAACCCTGTAAAATTGACTAACGCTATTGGTGTTTGCAGTAAACGTCATACGTTTTCATAAAAGAATTTCAAAGACTGAACTTTATAACAGTGACACTGTGGAGGTGCAAAACAAATCATTAAGAATTATTTGGATAAGCCAGTATTAGTTGTGTTTAAGTTAACAGTCGTATTTAAACTATTTTAGAACTATAATAATTAGTAAATGACGAGCTGTATCCATGGAGACCAATAACTACATAATTGTATTTATGTATATTTGTTCCGCTGCGATACTGTACGTCATGTGACTTAGGTACATGTGCCCTAGTAAATTATCTCACCCTTGTTTTGGCATGAAATTCGTTATGGTCCCTAGAAATAAATTAAAAGTCGTAAAAGAATATGTTATATTTTTCTGGTAAAAAAATTATGAAGCCAAAAAACAAAAAAAAAAAACATTAGAATTCTGATATACCAATATTTTGTGGTAACTACTGAGTGTTTTTTATAATCGAATAGTTTGTCTGTCAAGAAGTTTTTATATTTGGTAATGAGTGTGTATTTGTATTTATATTATTTAAAATGTTAATTTTTTGTGATTCAACCACTGTTGGGTCCTAGGATGTGTGTAAAATATAGTGTCTTAAATTATGTTCTTTTGTTTGCCTCTGTATTATTTTAGTAATCTGTATTGTTTTTAATTAGATAATTTTTACAAAAGCTGTATGGGAAGAAGTGCGTTCCTAGTCAGTGTTACTGAATTTGTGAAAATCCTTAAGTCCGTTAGTATATTTCATTCACAGAACCATTTAACGGGTTTCGACAAAAGTCATGTTAGAATTATACGCTAAAAACTGGGGAAATTTGATTTTAGTTTTTATCGGTCGACCACCTTTCCTCTTTCACAGCCTCAAGTGGAACGTAGCCTAGTTTCTAAATTATATTTAAACTTAAATGGAGTATGGGGTAACACATTTGTCCTATCAGGGTATTGAGATTTCTCCTCACCGTCCAAGGACTTCTTCTGGAGCATCCAGAGTTAGGAAAATATCACGGGTTTTACAATCTGTTCAAATGGGGCTACTTATGTGAACTCATATTTACCGGTTTTGAAATATGTAGTAGGGAGCAGTGTAAAATATTTACATCGCCAAGATCTATAATTTCTGTTCGAAATTTTCAGTAAAGTCTGTATTTAAAGAAATGCGATTATCTACGTATTGCACAAAACTAATTTTATGCAGTAGAGTTTATCAAACTGTTGATAATTTTTGCCAGTACTTATATATTTTGGTGCAAGAAACTGATTTTTAAATGTAAAAACTAAAGGTTATTAAGATTTAAATGTAGCGCATTTTTATAAAACATGCCTTATTACGTGCGCAGAGAGATATGTTCATTTACATGGTTTTCTTACCGAAAATGTTTTTTTTTGCTTTCAATGTTAAAATTACTGGTAAAGTTTCCCCCACTATACAACTTATAGGTGCTTGGAGGCGAGGAGTATAGCTCCTACTCATTCTTGACCTCGGCACTAGATGGGGGTGAGTGGTCAGCATCACGCCTCGGCCTCGCTTTACCCCCAGGAAACGACCCCGGTACCTATTGGACAAAAGGCTGGACGTAGAGACTAGATGGAAAAACACTCTGCCTCCACTGGGGATGGAAACACACTCTTCCAGCCCGTAGCTACGGGTAGGAGTTTTATTCATATTCAGTGCCATGTTTTGTGGGAAACTGTAAGAGTTCGCAGTGGCGCTTTCTGTCTCCTCTGCTATTGATTCGTTAGGCAATTTTAGAAAGCGGGTAATTTGAATGTAAAATACTCCTTTTTAACCAAATAAAAGAACCATTTTTTTGTATCATCCGGTATAATGTCTAGCTTACTTCTTCCACTTTAATGACATTAACTGCTGTTAACAACTCTCTTATTTTGGTGAAGAGGAATGACGAGTTAATGGAACATACGTATTAAATTTGTCAGAAATTGAAGTACCCCGGTATATTTACTCCTTTACCGTTTATTACCTGTTTTAAAATGTTCTATATTTGAAACTATAATAAATGAACATCAAATCCTGTCAAAGACTTAAAATCCCATGTAATGCATTTTAAAACTAAATGCAGAAAGCCCCGTTATCTGAATGCGTCGTTTCTCATAACCGTCTATTATCATTTAACACCTTAGTTCCCATATCCGCCGTCAAGTTTCCAATTGCCCGGTATCGGAAAATATGGCAGCCAAGGCACTATGTCGCGATGAGCGCCTCTGTCTTGAGGCAGGACTTCCGCTGGTTCAAAAGCCAACAGAACAATGACGTTCTTTTGTTACTTATTCATATTGAGGATGAAATCAGTGTCCCGTGTTTGCACAGTCAAATAAGGGAGCTAAGAGGCCAAGACCAGTCACGATTTTGGAAATGAAATTGAAGATTATTGCTAACTTTGAAGCTGAAAAACGAGCGTCATTATGAAAGTGGAAACTGTGTTTTGCTACTTCGAGGAAGTGCGCACTGAAATTAAGAACGCTAGAATCCATTCAACTCTTAGATACTTTTTGCAAGAAGAGGGATTATTTAAAGCCCTCGGATATCGAGGGCAAAATGAACTAAAATTTTATTGTGTCTCATTTAACGAGCTGAGGATGACTAAATACTGAATTTGGAACGAAATGGAATTAAGCGGTCTTGGTCAAATTTAGGTACGAATTTAAGGCATTTGGTCTCTGTGCCATAATTTGAAATCTACACCTTTCCGACTGCAAAGTTGACTTACTCGATTTCAAAGTTCGGTCCCACAGTGAAATACACATACATATTTTGTAGCTAAAAGATTCTTAATCAACTGCTAATATAATAGCCGATGTCCGTCACGCATGTACAGAGAACTTCTTTGACCAATGTCCCTAAACTGACTGCCTGAGTACGCCGTCTGAACTCATTTTAAATTCATGTGGAATTCGTGTAATGTAATTTATTAATGCAATAACAATTCTAAAGTGAAATTAAATTTAACCATTAATAGTTTAATGAATGGTTACACAAACCTGATAGTGGCAAAGTGAAATGGGCCAATTTATGGGTTTATACATTTAATATAACTGTGTGAATTATGTGTGTTGTAACATGAATTGTTTATTTTAAAACATGCGTGTCATATTTCAGTTTTGGTGTTTAAAATGCAACGGGGATATGGAGTAAAGGAAAACACTGATTACGGTATTTGTAAGAAAGTCTGAGAGTTGTTGCTTATGGAGGTCCATGCTGTGTTTCTGCTTTGTAGTCTCTAAATTCCAGTATTAAAGAAGATATGGACTAATATCCATATTCATTTTACGTTAAAGAGGAAGGTCGCTGTGCAAGACATGCAAATATGTATTTATTTATAATTTAACGACGCTTTCAAGAAACCTGTCAGGATAGCCGGTTTCTTTGCTGAGATACGAAGCAGGAGTAACATCTGAAAATAATTTCCCTTTTACATAACCTTGTCATTATTGTTATGCTATAGTTTACGCGTCTAGAATTAGAACCCTGCTTGTGAATATTTAATACTTAAATGCTTGATGTTTCAAAATAACGGAACACGTTTTTTGAACACACTTAAACAAATGTTTAAACGGTTTTTACTGATGGAAAAATGAGCACATATTTAATATCCCGTGTTATTCCTATGACGTTATCTATCATTATTTTTGAATGATATGAAGAGAGATATGTGTAAATTAAAACAGTTTTTATGACAATAATAATTTTAAAAATTAGGGTGTTTATATATCTGTGGCATATTTGTACGGTGTCTACGGTAAACCTTTTGGAAACCACTGATATATAAATATGTAGGCGAAAACAAAGTTTGTTAATTTTAATAATACATTGAATACCCTACGTTTTATATTATATTTGATATCGAATAACATATTTCATTTCCACTGTTGTTTTATGTTCGATTCACTTGTTTTTCTGATTTCAAAGTTGCGCGGTTAAATAATAATAGCACGAAATTTAACTGTGATATATCTACTGTTCCTATAGTTTCAGCGTATTTGTGTAGACTATGAATGGAATCAACTAAAAAAGTTGTTAGTCAATTTAACTGTAGAGCGGATGATATCCTCCATAATTGTGTAGAAATTTACTAAAAGTAGCCTCCAAGGATGCCAAAAACATTTGGAAAACGCACGCAGAATAATTATGAACATAATCAACAGTTAAAAATTTTAATTTTTTTTATTTAAACTGCGAATTCAAGTTTGTGCTAACGCTTATAATGTATATAC